AATTAGCTTTCAAACAACATTGAAATAAAGAAAATATTCTCTGAATTTATTGAGCTACGTACCTCACATACATGATTGTTGTACCCATACAACAAGAACCGTTTTCATACAACCTTATAACAACGCATATATTCATTTCAGTTAATATCTAGTGTACATGATCATTGTAGCAAAAGAAATGAGCAGTCCTCGTGCAACCTTGCACTGAAGAAAATATCTTTTGTAATTATTGTTCTATGTACATGAGTATGACCATTATAGCAATACAGATGAAAGACTAGTCATACAGCCTCATAGTAAATACAATTTGGAATGTAATTATTATTATCAGGTGGGCTGTATCTAATACAGACCACCTTATATTTTTGTTAAAATTGCTTTTATTATTATTTTTATTTATTTATTTATTTTTCTTATTTCGACCCACTTTTTTGTTAGCAAGATAACTTAAAAATGGTTGAATGAAATACCTTGAAATTTGGCACATATATGTATAGGCATATGGAGAAAACACAGTAAGGTTTTCAACCTTGACCTTGACTGATGACGTCATCTAGGCGCCATTTTGTGAAATTTTCTGAAAATAAACTCATGATCATATCTTCATAACCAAAAGGTATTTCTCATTCATATTTATTATGATCAAGGTCAATATCAGTCCAGTCAATTTCAGGTCAAAAAACGCGCGCGTGCGCGTACGTCCGCGCGTCAATGCGCGCGCAAAATTTTTAAATGCTCAAAATCGTCTCAAATTTATTTTGCCTATGTTTCAGGTCATTTTAAGCATTTTATAAAAAATCGCGCGTACGAGCATGCGCGCGCGTTTTCGCGCGTAACACCATTAAAAAACATAGAATCGCCATTTTTTTTTCTTTCATGATATTTCTCATATTTTTTCAAGGAATTTGATTCCATGTTTATCTCTTTATGACCATTATTAACAAGATGAGCGTAAATTCAAGATAAATGTCAGTGCGCGCGAGGTCTTTTAATACATAGCATATATGGGTAAAAACATGCCTATACAAAATCCGTTATAGCTCTTTGGAATGCACCGGGATCCTCAATTTTTTTTCATATTAAGATAGAGTATGAGTCGGAAATATGATTCCATGTCTCATTTGGCCATTAAGTGTATCGTGACATCATCACAATGGCCTTGGAACTCAAAATACGAATTTGCATATTATGACGTCAGCATATTTATGTAAAATTGATTGTATCTCTGTAAATATTGATCAATTTTCTTCAAAATTTCGATATGTTGTAGCTAAGACAATTCTCTACAAGCGCAGTAATAACCATTTTTCATTTTGATGACGTCATCATAGTGAACATTTTGATTAAAGGCCTCATGTCAAAAACTTCATAATTTGCGTGTTATGCCTATAGAAGGTGAATTTAGTTCACGTTATGAATCTACATGATATTGTCTTTTAAGAATTTGTAAGCAGTATGTCGCTTATTTTTGCTCTATTTTGTCTCAAATGTTAGTTGACCAGCCCACCTATACTTGTTCCAAACAAGTATTATATGTCTAGTTATTAAATATTTTTCTTATTTCTAACCACTTTTTTGTTAGCAAGATAACTTGAAAATGGCTCGATGAAATGCCTTGAAATTTGGCACACATATGTATAGGCATATGTACAAAGCACAGAATTTTTTTCAACCTTGACCTTGACTGATGACGTCATCTAGGTGCCATTTTGTAAAATTTTACGAAAATCAATTCATGATCATATCTTCATAACCAAAAAGTATTTCTCATTTATATTTATCATGATCAAGGTCAATATCTTTCCGGTCAATTGCAGGTCAAATAACGCGCGCGTGCGCGTACGTCCGCACGTCAATGCGCGCGTAAAATTTTAAAATGCTCAAAATCGTCTCAAAATCATTTTGTATACGTTTTAGGCCATTCTAAGCATTTTATAAAAAATCGCACACACGCACATGCGTGCGCGTTTTCGCGCGTAAAACTATTGCACAACATAGAATCGCCATTTTTTTCTTTCATAATATTCCACATATTTTTACAAACAAATTGATAGCGTGTTTATCTCTTTATGACTATTAATGACGGAATGATCGACCGTTAAACATAAATTTTCGTGCGTGCGAGCTATTGTAATACATAGCATATTGACCCCAATTCTTTTTTCATATTTTGATTGAGTATGAATCGGAGATATGATTTCATGTCTCATTTGACCCTCAATAAACTCATGACGTCATCATAATGGCCTCCGAACTCAAAATTTCAATTTGCATATTATGACGTCAGCATATTTATGGAAAATTGATTGTATCTCTGTAAATAGTGATTGATTTTCTTCCAAATTTTGAAATTTTCTAGCTGAGACAATTTTCTACAAATGAAGTCTTCACAATTGTTAATTTTGACAAAAGCATCATGGCGTATTTTTGTGATTAAAGGAGGCATGTCAATTTTCACATTTTGCGTGTATTCTCTATGGGACATGACTTTTTCTCAAAACTTGATTCTACATTCCCGTCTTTCGCGAGCAATCTCTACGTCGTTTTAGCTTCATTTACGCTGAACTTCGAGTATGTTGTAGCTGAGACAAAAAGCTTTCTCAAATGTACCCTTCATTTTGTCTCAATTTTTTGTTGGATCAGCCCACCTATACTTGTTCCAAACAAGTATTACAAATCTAGTTATTATTATTATTATTAACATGATTATTCTAGCAATACAAATTGAACAATTTTTAAACCACTATATGATGAACCATATATGTCTTGCATTTATTACTTTATGTGCACTATCATTGTAGCAATAGAACTTAAACAGCATTCATGCAATAAATAGAATGTCTTCTGTTAAAATTATCTTATGTACATGATTATTCAAGCAACAGAACTGAAACAATTTTCATACAACCTTGTAATAAAGAAAAATATATTCTGTACCGGAAATTATTATCACATACATGTATAGTGTGAGTCAAAAAGAAGTTTACACCTAAAAAATTGCTACCGGTAATTATTTAAAAAAATATTTATGAACAGTAAAATATTGTACATCTAACGAAAAAGAGTTTTATCCCAAATCATTTGGTATAACTTTTGTGTGGTATGTGGTCACGCTTGGATGAACAGGAGACATTGTTTGCGAGAGTGCCAAAGGGATGCCTATGTGATGTTTGAATAAAACAATTGGGATTTGGGTATTAATTCGGTCTTTGCAGATCCAAATAACATCCCTTACAAATAATTTCTGTAGTTATGCTACGCACATAATTAATGTGGCGATAGAACTGACTCTTTTCAAGCAAAAATTGTCACAAAGAACATTGCAGCCAACTGAACCAAGATTGATACATCTTGAAGAGACAGGAGTACTGGTCATGCCACTGCATTGAAAAGGAAACTGTCTGTATGTTACTTGGACTGTTTGATAATTTAGGGTGTATCAAAAAGCTGTAAATTACAAAGATATTTGTAATTTTTTTGAAATTATATAAAATGTACTCGATTTTGCAGAAAGTGTAAAGGACTGCGCACATATCTGGCTTCGATATTTAGTAGATTTTTTTAACAGCATTTCTAGTCACCTTTCAAATATGATGACATTTCAAGAAAATTTTTGTAGCCAATTTGAAGTGCCTGTAGGTCTAGTGATTATAACTGTAAAATATTCATAAATTAGTTACCAGTATTTTTTTGTCCAATTTTCTCCAAATTTAAATAGTCTACTTCTCTGATTTTTCTGCTTCTTTTTGTTTAGTCTACTAGATTGGATTTCCCTAAATCATTAAAGATGATTAAAAAGATTTTATTATAATATGTAGCTTAACTTCATGACTCCAGGTAGCATTGGCTAGGGAAGAAATATCAACTTCGAGATTCAGACTGAAAATCATGAAGACTTAGAATACGTGTTTCAATCTATTTAGTCTTCTTAGAATTACATCTGATCAAAGACATGCCGATTGCTCGTGCAAACTAACTTCCGTGGAAGAGGCCCTTGGCTGTATAACTTAACCCAGCTTCCTCCAAAGCTAGACAAAGTTTATTAACCTGCTAACTCGATCGGACACGCCGTCTCCAGTCACGAAGCATCTCCCTGAATCCTGAACTTGAGACGCTGCCTGCCGAGGATCGAGGAGTCCGCTCTGTCAAGGTATTTCTCTACCACTTAATGGGAGAAGCCAAGGTCACGTGCATTCGTCATAGCACAAACTAAAACAGGCAAGACTTTTACCACGACGTCTGATGCAAAATTCATTCGGCCGCATCTGTAGGAGTGAGAGCAAAAGGACAAGTGAAGTAAGAAAATAGACAGAACAATGAAATACAATGTAGAAGATGACATGGCTACATCAAATATTTGATCAATGTTATCCCAGCATCAATGTTCACCCAACTCTTGTGTCGATCCACTGCTTCACGAGTGAATTCAATGACTGGCATAGAGCTGCCAACCATTCCGTTTTTCCCGGCATTATTCTGTTTTTTAATCCAAATTACATTTTTTTTCTTCACCAAATATGCTTTTCTAATAATTTTCAGAATTTGTTATACATACCGGTACCTCACATAAAAAACTGACCTAAAATGTTATTTTGATCACGAAGTCAATAGAAAACCAAGATTAAAACGTACTTGAAGAAAAAATTATATTAAAAAAGAATAAAATGCCCATAATATCAAAATAATAACAACAAAATACCTACTTGTAAATAAACTATAGGTCCTAATATGGACAAAAAACTGCATGAGGAATGGACATTTCTGCATTAGAAGTGTTTGGTTGTAAGTTTCGTTTTAATGAATTCCTTCTTTTTTTTGCCATCATGGTTCCTTTTGTTGATCGCACAAGATTGGCATCTATAGATGTGGGTTGGCATCTCGTATATCATAATATATCTGTACAATTTTGAATATTTTTGATATAGTGCTTGACCTAATTAGCATGGTATATTAATAATCCAGGATTAGGATGCACTTTTGACTGCATTAGGACCAACACTTGATTTACTTACGTGTCAGAGACTTCATCATCTGGCTCCACTGTATGGATGAAAAAGGGAAGACAATAATTGTGCAAACTTCAATCGCACTTTTCTTAAACTGCAAAAAGTGAATTATCACACTCTTCATTTATAACAACGAACACGTCTTTAAAATACAAACTAAAAATATCAGGGTTATTAAATTTGCCGCTGAAATTGTCTTTGTCGGTTTTGCTCAATAGCATTTCTCTGACAATTTGTTTATTCGAGATTTGGGGTTTGTAGGGTTGGTTAGGTTTAGGTTTAGGGACAGGGAAAAGGTGTAACAATGGATGGAACGTTGAATTTCTGGGTATCCGGCTTGTACATTTTATTATAGAGCGATTGTAGCGGCCAGCTACTATCTTCCATGTAGGCCTACTGTCGTGTTGGGGATCAGTGTATTAATTATTGCAATATTGAGAGGTACATAAAATAAAGAGATGCTGAGACTTTCTTTGAAGTGTAATATGCAAGAGTATAATTTATTATAACTCTCAAACGATGAGTCGCATAGTCCAGATTCACAAGTATATTTACAAGGTATAGAGCAGACAAAGTATAGGTACTAGCTTGGTGATGGTCTGAACTCTTCCCCTCTCTATCATTCGTCAAACTTTCCCAATCAGGAAAGTTTGGGGAGAGAAACAATGTTAGGATGGGTGATTTAACATGCTACGATTGATCAATGGTCAGGGTTGTCATGGTATTATGGGGAGTGGCTATGGAGAGTGCAAGTGACTGGGGTTTGGGCATATGAGTCATGGTTCTAAGAATGTGGTTCGATCCTTGAAGCTATAACTCTGGGGTGGTCATTAATGGTCAATTGTTTATAATAAAAGTAATGGGATAGTGGGTTCTGTTTTGTCATGGAGCAGGTGGGAGAAAGGTGAATGCAAGGTGAATGACTGAAGGGTGGGGGGAGTGATCATATCACTACAATTGACTCCCATGATAGGCTGAATATTGTGCATAATATGCAAAAAGGTACGATTTTCCCTATGATTTACCATCACGAGTGACTTCGATTAAATGTCCCATTCGAGGGGTGGTCATGGTGTAGTAGGTTTTTTTAAACCTTCTTGTCTGGATAATTCAGGTTGATGTATCATGCAAACTTTCCTCAACCGTACTGGCAAAATTAAGTCCTTTGAATTATTTTATAACCCAGAGTTGACATACCTTCTATTGAGATGGGTATTTGTTGCTCTGCGAGTGTTGATGTGCCCTGCTCAATACGTAGACAGATACTCTTTGCCCCGCCCTCAGCATGTGAGGACAGCAGCTCGAAGGTGTCGCATTCTCCGTTCAGTAGACAACGTACAGGGACCTGGTAAGCATTTTAAAACAAGATGGCGAGTAATGCAATGTCAGAGATTGTTAATTAGTCGGTATTCATAACATTTGACTTTTATTATCTTTTGTGTGAGGAAATCTCTATGGGGGGGGGGGAGGGAATGATTAATCATAGATTCTTTAGAAGGGGAGGTTGATAACATTATCATTTTGTGAAGAAATCTTGTGGAAATTGACTGAAATAACAGTTCATACACATATATGTTCTAGTGCAATACTTACAGTTTTCTGAACCTGTTCTGAGTCAGAAAGACACACAAGCTTTAGATCATCTTCCTTTGATTCAAGAGAGAACTTGATCACGGTCGCCACCTGGTAGAATGGTTCCATCAAGGTTCCCTGCCTTCTGTACATATCCTGACAACAAAACATGATTGAAAACTTGACTGAATTGTGAACCTGGACTACAAACCTGAGCAATTTAAATAAACGAATGGCAAAGTCATTCATGTAGTTTGCCTGCGGTTGTTGTTTTGTCTTCACGCTACTTTGGGACGCTCTTTAATTATTTTTCTATATTCATTTTGTAATTGGAGCTCCTTGGTGGGGGGTAATAATTTATAAGCACTATTAGCATGACATTGTGACGTGTATGAGTGCTACACTGTATACAAATGATATAAGAAGCCACTAATAATATACATACGTCAGGATATCTGTTGCAGGGATGAGCTATGCAAATACGCATTGTAGGTTTCTGTGAAGAAAGCATAAACCGAGGCTGAAATACTTCACAGGTGAATTGAACTCCACGAAAGTTGCTTGATGACAACGCCCAGAGTTGAAGATGATGTGTAGAGAATTCAACCATGTCCTCCGAGATATGGAAATCTCTTGATGAATTTGGAAGTAAACTCCTGTAACCAAATGTACCTTGGAAAATGCAAGAAGAGTGAAATTGGGAAAAATTATACTACCGTATGTAAAATTTAAAAAGTCAAACATAATGGGGTGGTATTCCGGTAGTACGTACTAAGTTAGTCCACACTTTTATAGAGTGCCTGTTGCCAATTCATTTACCCTGTGCAGATTATTTTAATCCTTCAATGAAAAGTGTCTAAAAAATTAACTTTGCAATGAAATGAGGAGATAAAGATAATATAAGTATGAACTGAATTTCAACAAAGTCTTTGATAGATTATCTTTGTCATGATTATTGAAGGAGGAGAAGATGACACCTAGCATTCCATAGAAGTGTGAACTAAAATTCTTGTTTAGTCTGGACTTAGTCCCGGCTTAACTTATGAGAATACCACCCAATATATTTATGTAAACCACACACACACACACTGGCCCCCGAAATAGATTTCCGGGTAATTTGAAATATGTAATCAAATATCATGCACCATCATTTTATAAATATTAAGGATATTTATTTACTAAAACTATTTACATAACTATATATTTTCACCTTGTATCATGATTTATAACCAAGGGTAAATCATTTGGAAGTTTTTGGATGTTAAAACTTATAACCTTTTTTCTGCATATTTAGAAGAAAAAAAAACTGTCACAAAGAAGAATAGAAAAGAATAATAATAGGTCTACCTGGTCCTAGCTTGGTGTAGAGGCTAAGACATATTAAGTCATCTTGATTTTGTTCCGGATGGATACAGTGTGGAAGACTGACAGTCGCGGGTTTGAGAAGCTTTTGAGTGAAAGAGCATTCAATGACTGGAGTAATGAGAACGTCTCCATCCTTAAGGGGAATCTTAGATGAACAACGATTAGGTACACTGAGAGTAACCACAGATCTCATCCCTTTAGGGATTGCTCCTGCAGGGATGGATACTCTGATGTCCAGTTCATCTAGCTTCAGCTCTCCACCGTCGTGATTAATGATGCTATGAGAGAAGGGGTCCAGGAAACCTGGGTGGTGTTCCATTGCTATCAACAGATTATACAAAGACACAATTAACAGATAAAGACATGTCAGAATTATACACAGGTTAACATTATCAGAATACAAGTTCTATATTTCATGAAGAATAATGTTTAAAAAAATACTTGCAGTAAGATTACAGCGTTCCTTGATGAGAAGGTTGTCGAACTATGACATAAGATGCAAGATATTTTTTCAAAAGGTTTCTTTATAAGGAGACTTTCAACAACATTATGTTAACTATAATTACCTGTTGCTATTTCGCCTGCTGCATCGTTGAAACGAAAAGCTTGAGCAATTTCGAGAAGCCTCCTTCTTGTTCCTCCATGTCGTACCCATTCTTGAAGCATTTCTAGAACGATGTGCCGTATTAAGGTTGGTGGAAAGGACACAGATATGGACATGACCTGCAGGATTTCAGAAGCTGCTAGATCAAGGCGTCGGGAGAGGTCAAGTAGATCTGGAGTTGTGCACATTCGTTTGGAGATTTCATCAAGACCTGAAGAAAGAATGATAATTAAGTTAATTAATTCTGTAAAATGCATAAAATAAACATTTTGCATATTAGGAAAAAACTAATAATACCATCTTGTTCCTTACGTGAGTATCTACAAACATGCAAATGTTAGTGTTCTTTGGACATTCAACGGTTGAGATCATAGGCCCCCCCCCCCCCCCCCCTAGGGACGGAGAAACGGCCCAGTACAGGGAGGGATAAATTGGACTCAAAATTCGTATAATTCTAACATGAATAGTAATTGCAACTTTCCATCATCCTGTTCACCTCTTAATACAACTTACGCACTGTAAAAAAAACACATGTCATCTCAAATGATTTCTGACATAAGTCAACGTGATTGGAAAAAGACTTTACGGTAGTAGGGCTTAAAATTCTACATAATTGTATCAAACCTGCATCACAATCCCGGATGTTGTAATCTTGAAGAAGCTTTGTCATCAGGACTTTCTTCTCTTGTATTCCTAAACGTTTGCACCGTTTGTTGAGGAGTTGCCATGCAAGTCTGTTCATTGCTGCGGAATCGAAAGGTGCAACGTAACTAACAATAGCGTCATCATCCAGACAAAGGGCTTTCCCCAGTTCCCATGCCAAAGACAGACTCTTCACCGGTAGAGCAACGTTCTTCTGCTCGCTCTTAGACGGTGAACCTCCACATAGGTTGACGTCCTCACTGGTTTCATCACCATCTATGATTTATGAAATAGAATATGTTATATATAAATAGTCAAACCTTACCACCTCTCTTTAAAGGCCATATGTCTATAGTGTCTATACATATTGTCTCCCTCTCGAAAGAGAAATTTGCGTCGTAGTACCCGTCTGGAAAGTCCACTTGTCTACAGTTTTAAACAAAATTCAGTTTTTCTTGAGTTGCCTTGGTAATAGACAAGTTTGATTCTTGCTTTGTATAAATAGACTTTAGTTATCGTATTCACTAGCATCTTTACAAAACCTTATTACAGCCATGAAAGGCCATCCTTAGAACTAATGTGAGTGACTTACCCAAATCTGAATTTCTGATGATCGCCATATCTTCAGGCTCTACAGAGTCGCTCTGCTCTGTTCTTTGTTCAGGCGATAAAGTGGAATTTCCTTCAGGTTCTTGAATAGCCACGTCATTGTCCTCTTCGACTTCGCCTTCGCCTTCTTTGTCTACAAGTAATAAAGTACATTGTATAAGGCTATTGTAACCTTAGCCTAACAGCATCTTTAATTTGCGTATTTCGTTTAATTACTCATCAAAATGACTGCTATGAATGACATTATCAGCCCTATAATAGTTAAGCGGAAGCTTCAAAAAAAAATGTTATTACCACTAAACATTTCAATCGTATGATTACATTGAAGACAAAGTTCAGTTAAGATTTATGTTTGTTTCTACATTTGATAAGAATAACCAATCAAATAATATATATAAGTCATAGAGCTTTTTTTTTATTAACAATGAAGAACAGTTGCCTGTATTCTCAGCCGATGCCAAGAAGACAGATTCCCAAATGCACTTCAACGTCTTAGTCGCTTTAGCACCCGATCTTTGAGATGCCTTCCACATGCAGAGCATTTGGATGTTAGCGTCTTTGCGATTCTGCAATGTCCTGTGTTTGATGTTCTGAAGCTTATTCTGACTGATTCCAAGCTTTGTGCCAATCTCTGTGAAGTCCGTCCACTTAATAGTTCTTGCCAATTTGAGCAAGTCTTGGTCAGAAATGTCACTAAATAATTTGAGAAGAAATGATGTTCATTATACTAGAAACAAAGCTTATCTTGAATTCTGGTTAGTGAATTGCTTTGGACAGAAGCGTAATCCAGTCAATCGGATATTTGTCATGCAGTTATATAGATCGTCGCTTCGACCAGCAAAACATATATAAACAAATTAAGCTATGCATCATTGATAATGAAATCAATGAGACACATAATTCGCTTGACACGCGGTTCGAACAGAATTTTTTTTTTTCCACAATTTTTCAAAGCTTTAAAACATTTCTACCATATTTATCTCACTAATATATCATTTATGGTATTTATTAGAAGGGTCAATGTAAGTTAAGAAATGTGAACATTTATTTTCTGTCATATAACCGAAGATTACTTTTTAGATTTAAAGTTATTACCTCTTGTAACTCTCAATCGAATCGCGGTTGTTTCTCCCTATTTTTGTATTTGCAAAGACAAATCAGATAAACTCACCAAACTTTTTGAATAGAACCATATGCATGGAACTGTAAATTGACAATTTACTTGGACAGAAGTATACCGAATTGTGAGCATTTTTATAATTTTCAAAAATACTGTAGGTGGCCTTTATAAGTCACGGTGTTGCCAATTTGTGTATCACGGATGACAACTTTAAAAATTCATAATTTTCCTATTTTTAATCAGATATTGCTCAATTTTTTTTACTTCTTATTTTCAACTTTTATCAATACCAGCTAATCATCAGGGTGAGCTTCTTCTTTGATAATCTTGATGTTCTGACTTCTGGTCCTACGAAATTTACTCTGGGTTTATTTCGTGAGAAAAATAAAACACCCTCAGTTAAAATGTTGAGTAAGGGTTTAGGTTTGATTTACGGTAAGGGTTACTGACCCCCCCCCCCCAAAAAAAAAAAAAAAAAATGAAATCTTACCTGGTTGAAGCAATGTCTGAAGAACCGTGGCCCAATATATAGAACGTCATTGTTGTATTGAAAAGAAATTAAATATAGTAAAATTAGTTTCTTCTGCATAATCACAAATGATTAAATGCAGAAGTGTAATGATAGATACTTGAAAACATAGCTTTAAATGTGCTTTTTCACAATGTCTTCCTTCTATAATTGGCTAGTCTATTTTTGAAAAATAAAAATCTCTGCACTCTATGGTCATTGCTACAACTATCACCCTTATTATTGTTATTATTGTTACTATTATTGTCATTATAAATATGTAAATATTATTCTTTTTATTTATGTCTATATTGCATTTTTTTCATTTTGAATAAAAGCTGTTCCTATATGCCAATAATTAAAAATCAGGGTTTTATTTTTCCTTTTTTAATTTTTTTTTATACAGGCCTGCGGCTTTTAATGTTGTCATATAGAAACATATTGCGCACACTAATGATGACTATGATCATCATTGGCGTCAAATTGTTTTCCCTCCCCCATAGAAACAACGGCCAATGTATAACTATATCAAAAGATTATTACAGATCCATACACAGTTCAGGTAATATACATTTTGAGTCATCAGGCATTATGTTTGGTATGCTTAAGAGTGTTAAGAATCTGCTGATAAATTTAAATGAGTAACAGTAAAACCTGTCATTTTCGTCTTTTCTGCCTCTGTTTCTGCAGACTTCAGGAGTGAAAGAAGCACTTCCTTCACGTTTTGATTTGGTAGTTGGCTTTGTTTCCATGTTATCAAAATTTCGTGGATGGCCTCTTGTCGGTCTTTGAGCCTCTTATACTCTATTGCATCCAGTTGTTGTATTTGGAAACCAAGTGCAACTCCCAGGTCATAAAAGTCGTCTATCGAAAGCTTTTCAGCAATGTTCTGGATATCTACATCAGGGAGATCATTTCGAAAGGTTCCTTCGATTTCTCTGTAAAAAAAAATATATGTTACTTTTTTTTTTTCATCTTCAACATTTCCTGCATGGGGAAAAAAATATTGAAGGAAAATTAATACCTTGTATTTCAGACAATAGGCCTTGTCTCACCTTAAACGAAATTGTAATTGAACTTAGAGGAGACACTCTTGTAATTGACCTTAACCTAATACAGATATATGTCGTACCTTATTACGTAACAATCTTTATTATTGTCACATGTGTACACAATCGTATCCTAGTACCGTAAATCTCTGTGTATAAGGTGCACCTGTGTATAAGGCGCACCCCTATTGTTTTTTGTTTTGTTGCCGAAAACCCACGGGAAGGACCTTCATTTTACATCGAGGTGCAGTTGAAGTTGTGAACTTGTCACAAATAATAGTAGTTGTAGAAGAATGTGTAAGATCATTAATGTAAATTAAAAACAGGTCCAGACTCTAAGGCTTCATGATACCAAGTGTCCCACACCAGCCTCATGACATCACCTAGCAGAAGCACTGTGTTCTATGCCAAACATCAATAGTCATGCATGATTATGAATAGCATCCTCTAAATTTCTGACAATGGAGTACCTATAGGATAGAACCTTGTTGTACACCATTTGTTATAGAAAACAAAATTGAGGAATTATTATTATAAACTACATATTGAGATCTATTAGAAAGATTACTTTCAAACCAAGATGATAGATAAATTTGAGTGTTGTTGTAGTTTCCGAGTGGTGAGTCAAAACACTAATAACTGAGCTGGGAGACATTGCCAGGCATAGCGCCATAAATCGAAACTAAACAAAATAAAAAAATAAAAAATAAATAAAAACTTTTTTTCTGTAACTGTGTATAAGACGCAACCCCGACTTTCAATTTTTTTTCGGCGGCAACAAAGTGCGCCTCGTACACGGAGATTTACGGTAATGAATGGAACCACTATTTTTGCTCTTGTAAATCCTGCTTTGAACACCTTTTTCTTTTTAATCAATTAAACAGCACAGCCTTTTGTGATGCAGTCACCTCAAACATTTCTGCTTCTCGGTGATAACATCTTTGATCGCCTCTCCCATTTACACTTTAAAAATTTGTAGCGCATGAAAATCTTGTCAGAAATGATGATGTAGACCTCGATTTTCAATTTTATACGGAAAGCCTAGGTGACTCCCAATATTAATTAACTCGGTTTTAAACAAGAAAAAAAATTCTTGTACATTAGAATGTAATGGTGAACTTTCAACAGATTCTCAGAAGATCGCTGACGCTTTTAATGATTTTTTTTGTAAACATTGGTGTTAGTTTAAATAGTCTCGCGCCTCAGAGCAATATTGACTTTGGACAATATTTGCCCCAGCCAAACCCTACCTCGTTGTTTATGTCACCTGTCACCGATAACAAAATATGCAATATTGTTAAAGCTTTCAAGAACCATAAGGCCCCTGGTCTAGACGAATGTTCCCCTAAAATTATCAAAGCTGTTATTGACCTAATATGTAAACCCCTATCCCATCTATTTAATTTATCTTTTAGTACAGGTAAATTCCCAGATAAAATGAAATTAGCAAGAATTACCCCAATTTTCAAAAGTGGAGTAAAGGAACAAGTTAGCAATTACAGACCTATTTCAGTACTCTCTGTTTTCTCCAAGATACTAGAATGTATCATTTACAACAGAACCTACAGTTTCCTAGAAAAACACAATTGTCTTTTTGTAAATTAATTTGGCTTCCGGGAGGACCACTCAACTCAACTCTCAATTTTGGAACTTACCAACAAAATAATTGATGCATTCGAAGATAATTCACTCGCTATCGGTGTAGTTATACTGATCTGCATGTCAAAGGCCTTCGATACAATCGACCATAATATTTATCATCTAAACTTAATTACTACAGGATTCGTGGAATAACACATGACATTTCTTCTAGCTACCTTAGTAATCGTTGTCAATGTACTATTTATAATTCTAAAATGTCTGACTTAAAAGATATTACTTGCGGGGTCCCTCAGGGGTCACTATTAGGCCCCTTACTTTTCATACTGTTTGTAAATGATATTTACCGATCATCCAACCTGCTTTCTTTTATTCTTTACGCTGATGATACAAACTTATTATACTCTCACAAAAAATTTTGATATTTGTAAAACTGTTAACACCAAGTTAATAAATGTCTGCAATTGGTTTGCTGACAATAAATTAACAATCAACTTCAAGAAATGTAACTACATGATATTTTACAACTCTCCAAAACCTGAATTAAATAATAATATTCTTCCCAGAGTGGATTCCACTAAGTTTCTTGGTATTTTCATAGACAGTAAACTAACATGGAAAAATCATATAAATGAGCTTGAAAACAAAATAGCTCAAAACACATGTGTTTTTTACCGCCTAAGTATGTTTTTACCGAAAACGATATTACATACTTTATATTGTTCTCTGATTCTCCCATCCCTATCCTATTGTAATATTATATGGGCAAATACATATTGAACAAGTCTAAAAAAAGCTCTGTGCACAGCAAAATAAAGTTTTACGTATCATATCAGTTTCTCACCCACGATCCAGTAGCGATCCTTTATTTAAATCTCTTACGTTGCTTCGTATTAGAGATATAAATAAACTTCAACAATGTACATTATTATATAAATGTCTAAACTCACAACTACCTTCTCAGTTCTGCGGCCAATTCCAACGTGTTTCAGATATACATAAGTATGGTACCAGATCATCTGAAGAAATCTATATTCCCAAACACCATAAACGTATTTTTCAAACTTATTTCCGTCTTACTGGTTGGAACAATTTACCTGTGAGGAAATCTGTATCTCTATTAAGCTTCTCTTGGAAGCCAAAAAAATGTATCATTTTAAATGTACAGTGCATAAGTATTAGCCCTACACCCAATTACGTTGACAAGTGTATGTACATGTATATTGTATAAGGGGATTTGTATGGATGTGTTAGTATATATATGTGATGTATGCGTGTTTATAATTATGTAAACATACATGTATGTATGTATAGGCCTATGTTGTATAAATGCATGTACTTGTAACAAAGTATATAAATATATATGCAGTCAAACGTTTCAACATTATACCCTTCACCTATATCTTGCCAATTATGTTATGCATGCCATACACTCCATTGCTACTATGTTGCAGTCCTCTTCTTTTCCTCTCTTCTTTTCTCTTTCTCCAAGCTCTTTATCCTCTTCTCCTCCTTGCCTATCCCTTTCTTCTATTTATAATGTATATTATGTATTTGTGTATTCCGGCCTACCCATTACAAGCTTTGCCTATCAGGTTTCGCGCCTTCTTCCTTGTAATACAAGTTCTTTAAATATATTTATGTTCCTATGTATAAATTGTATTGTTTGAACAGTTGTCAAATATGTTGTCAAATTGAATGGAAGAAAATAAATGTTCATTTGAATTGAATTGAATTAACTTAAATTTATTTTTAAAATGTGAATAGATTGATAACGACTTGCTTACCGGATAACTTGAGTAAATTCAGGACCCTTGATTTCATCTGCAATCACGAAGATAGAGGGTTTTAAAAGAAAATGTACATACATTAGGACAAGTTTTAAATCATTGTTATTTTTAAATCAGTCATTGTCCGAAATTAATGTCTGGAGAAAACAATTCCAATGAATAGAAATGATAGATATCAGTGAATATGTAATGTCTACCAATTAATTTCAAACAAGTGTCGCTTTTTAATTGATTGAAACATTTTTTGTATCATAAGAAACTCTCCTAAAAGCTAATAAGTAAAGAATTTCATAATACGTACGTCTGTGCAGGTATTTCTTTAAACGAAACTAATAATTACGTTTATTCCCGAGTAATGCTTTCCCGTTTAGTCAAGTTTATGAAAGTAACAGCCAGAGCTAAGGAAAATTAACTTGCTGATTAAAGAAAAACATGGACAAAAATATTGTTATATCATGTAAAATCATAGCTCTTCAAAAAAAAAAAAAATAATAATCAATCTTTATTGCAATACTGGGATGGGTTACATATTGTAGACTAACCTTCGTATCTAATGACGAATGCCATTGATCGAGACACCCCTAGCTTCCCAGACTGTGTAACTGTGATGGTTATCACGTTAAATGGAGTACCGGTATCGTTCTCCATCGGGGGCACTTTCAAGAGCACATTATGACTCATTCGGTTTTGAATTTGCTGTAGAGAGAGCAGCTATAGGACGAGAAAATTAGAATACAAGGTATTAAAGGGATCGTTTAACAATTTATATCTGAGATACACGGTCCTACGTGTTATCAGTGTCTGTGATATGGTGTAATATTGAAGCCCTAAAAAAATTGCCCTTCAAAACGATCAAGAAGTGCCTCAAAAAAGTAAAAACCTTTGAGTGACCGGTTTTACCATACTCGTTTTCCCCAATAGACTGTAGTGTTATGAAAACCGTCAGGCGAACGGTTTTCAAAATTTGTAATTCCAATCATAAATATCTTGATAATCAGACAGGCGATCAGCTTGTAAAAGTCATGGGGTTCCTGACTGACCTAAAGGTTTATAATTATCATTGCATCATGAGCTAAATCCAGAATTTTGTTTTTAAGAATCTGAGACAAACTTACCGATTCCCTTTAAGAAACAAACAACATTATTTTTTTTCTGGAAAGAATCAAAACAAGTAACAAGAAAAGGGGTTTCATATCTGATTTTATGTTATTATTTATTTTCTTCATAGTCTTTATCCGTTAGCCCAAAGAAAGCGGCTTTTAATAAATAGAGGAGGTATAGCGCGGCGCTGAGCGGCTCGGTCGCTGGCTGAAATTGGCAATACATTTTGGTATGGCACCTTGGAGTATGTTGTATCAGGATAAAATTATCGGAATTATTTTCTGGATTTTAGGGAATCAGATATTCAGTAAAGATTTACAGCATTATATTGGAAGAAAGATGTTTAACAGATGCTCAAATTTAAAATATTTTTAATTGAAACCTCTCCAACACAACTATTCTTCTTATGTTATTGAGACAAACACGTTTAAACATTGTAGACTTGCACACACTTCCGCCTAGACAATACCCTTGCCCAGACAATTACCTTCAGGTAAAAATGCAACAAACAGTTTATTCCGGGCAACCACTGCGGATATTTGCACACAGGACAATACCTCCCTGGACAAATTATCCCACTACAATTACACCCTTGGATAATTACCCCAGGACAATTAAAAGAGTTTGTTGATTTTATATTTCGAATATCATTAGGTAAAGAATTCCATACATCTGGACCTCTGTGTCTCATTGATTTCTGGGCTAATGTAGTGTGAGGATTGACCACATGCAAATTCTATGACTGCCTTGTTGAATACGAATGAACCATGTTATTAGGTTGGAACATTGAAGATAATGACGTAGGTAATAATTTGATATTAAAACAGAACATAAATATAGCAATTTGGAGGAAGTTAATATCATCAATCTTTAAGCATTTTAGTTTAACAAATAGTGGGGTAGCATGGTCACGATAACCAGCTCGGGTACATATGCGTACAGCTTTCTTTTGTAACAGAAGAATATTATTAGTCACACACTTGGATGTTGCCCACAAAATATTACAATAAGAGATGTGTGGTAAAATTAGACTATTATATAGCATAAGTAATATTCCATCAGAAACAAAACATTTTATTCTATACAGTACGCCAATATTTCTGGAGATTGGTGTAACAATGTGTTTTACATGGTCACTCCAGTCAAGTTTTTCATTGATATAGACACCAAGGAATTTCGTATATGTCTTTCTCTCTAAAGAAATATCATCTAGTTTAATATTAAGAGCAAGGTTGTCATTAGATTTTCTACCTCTAAAATAAATATAATTTGTTTTAAGAACATTGAGAGAGAGCACATTACTTCTAAACCATAAAGTCAACTTTGGTAGTTCCGAATTTAGTTTCTGTTCAAGAGTGTTGATTTCATGATGAGACAAGAAAACACTTGTATCATCTGCAAATAAGGTATAATTTAAATTACACATGGAATTAAAGGGGCTTATATGAAAATAATAATACCTCTGGCATTTTTACCTCTGACATTTTTACATCGAAATTCTCTCCTCTCACAACTCCGCCCCTCCCGCATCCCCCCCCCCCCTCGAGAATTTTGTATTTTTGTATTTAAAAAAAAAATTCTCCCTGGTCAAATATACGTCTATTTGATTACGAAATTTTGTTCGATGAGTGTTAAGAGTTTAATTGGTCACTTCGCTCGTTTGCACAATTTTGATACCGGATAGTTGATAATCAGGCAAAAGATGTCAACCACACACACTTAATTGTCTTTAGGCTATTTGTCTTGGGGTTTAATTGCCCTAGAAGCAATTTTCTTTGGATAATTGACTTGGGTGGTACATGTATTTGTCCAGGTTATGCTTATCCTGGGGATAATTGTCTATGGGTAGATGTTCCGAGGGGGGGGGGGGGTTAAAATTGTCCTGGGGGCTGGGGGTCAGTTGTCCGGATAGGGCTGTAGTCTTATTATGTCTCAATACCAGACCTACAAGAATTGATAATTTGTTTAAAAATATGGAGCCTGGGAGAACAATAAGAGTTTCTAACATTAATTTTTCATCTTAATTTTTCTCAAGTATTAGACAATATTCTTTCATTATTATCATTAAACTGTATACTTAAGTTTCTGAAAGGCTGAAATATGGAAAATCTCTCCGATAGTCCGGCAGCCATCTCGATATACCTTGTTTTAGGGTCTATAGTTTTTTTTTCTTCGGATTATAGTTCCTTAGACCATCAATTTGAAGAATTCGATTGCTGACACTCTGTCAGCATTGAGCAATTTGAGATATGTGACGTCATACAAAATGGCCGCCAAAATCCCCTTTTTAACCAAAATTAATGATATAAAAAGTTTTAACAGCATTTTACTACATTAAATGGCAGTCAAATATCTTAATTTTTTTCTAGAATCATCACTAAATAAAAATTGCGATGCTGTATGATCACAAATGATATGCAAATTTGCATAATTCGGAATGGCGCCCTCTATAGACACATTAACTTGAATAGTTCAAAATGATGGCCAAATACCAATTTCTAACATGAGATTATCATATGTCATGAGTCAGATGCACTGGATACAGTGAGTAAAAATTGTGCTGCACATTTATTTTTATTTTGTAATTTTATACTCGAAGAAAACATGGTTGAATTTTATGCTCTCTGTCCCATAGATATGAGGTGGCATATGGTGATAAATGCCCATTTTCAGTGACAGCGTTAAGAAACTAGATTTGTATTCTAAGGTACTAGATTCTTTTAAATTAACCTACAAATTACGAACTACCGATACGATACAGGACTATATCCGTTTATAAGTTTGCTTCAAAATCTTGAAATTTGTTTAAAGGCTCTCTAAAGTGTTGGGAGCCCTAAAATATTCCATGCGGAAGAGGGTGTCATTTAACACTTAATTCTGCAAAGTGAGGTCGTGACTGTAATGCGTGCTTCCACACGCATGTTTGCAAATGAGCTCTCTTTTAATAACATTTTCTACAAACGCTTGAGGTAGTTTCAGGTAGTGAGGCAAGGTTTGGGGGTATTTGGAGCTCCTAGTCTTCGGACCCTTGATAGCCACACGTTGATACGAGCCTCTGACATTCAGTTGGTTGTTGACTGTCCATAACATGAAGCAAAGCATTAAGTAGGTTGAGTGATGACATATGACCATGCTGCATCAACATTGCCAACTGAGTCCTAAGGGAGTCGAATCTTCTGCTTCATCACTTTCAGCATTGTACCCTATCCAATGCCAAAGTATGCCCCAAGAGTGTCGCATCCCGTCAACGCATGTCCTGCCAACATCGATGGAATGATATCTCCTAACTTGTCTACATTAGCAGGAACATCAATAACAGTTCAATTTGTGAAGGGGCGTCTTCATGGTCATTGGCGTTTTATAAGTCCGTCATGTAGATAATGATCGATGCAAAAGTAGTACGTAGACGTCTGTGTCATCCACTAGGACCCTAACATACATCTTCTCATTAGCATCAATTCAAATCGCTTGCTGTACTTTGATGTTGCCTGCTTCATCATAACTATGTTGTGGACAGACCTTTCCTTGCCATGACATCACTGCCTGGAATCACTTCAACAGCAACCTCATCTTGACGGTAAAGGCCTGCTTGTGCTTTTGCCTATTTCTGAGCACCCAATCATCCTGCAGACTCGCGCATATAATTACGATGTCGATCAACTGTAGTTTGTTGTCATGAAAAGATAGTGAAGTTAGCAACACTAGAGACACGTTTCAACAACTTCTCTCCCTAGCTTTATTGATCTTTCCAAAGCTTTTGACTGCGTACAACATAAACGCCTATGGAAGATTATGAGCTGGATGGGCTTTCCAGCATATATAATTCAACTCATCCAGTCGCTCTACCAATACCTAGAAGCAACAGTAAGAACAGAGAATGGCTACACCGAACGGTTCACTATTGGTCAAGTTGTCCGTCAAGGCTGCATCCTATCACCATCTATGCTGTATTCATTATGACAAAGGCATTTTATGGTCAAGTTTCTGTTGGTGGACGAACGATCACCAACCTAAGATACGCCGACAATACAACACTCTCTGGCGTATTGATGGGGAAGGGTTGGGGGGGGGGTTGGGGACATTTAAACCCCCAAACAAAATTCAAACTGTTTTTTCTATATATTCGATACCAGTGATTTACAAATGTTGCTGAAATGACATGATTTTCCTGGGTTTTTTCTCACTTTTTAGTAAATTATTATTTGTTAAGCATATATGTTGGAAAATGACAAATCCTAAATTCACAGTCAAGCAAAAAATATGCTTATTTAAAAGCCTACATGTCAGGGTCCGCAGAACAGCGGGGCTCAGGGGACTCGAGCCCCCTCACTTTTTGTATAAAGTATGTTGAAGAGAACTAGAAAGAAAGAAAGAAAGTGACCCGAGGTGAAATGAGGTATCAAAATGTGTTCATCTTACAGTTAATAAATGCCTGAAACCCTTGAGCTTCCAGGGGCTGTGCCCCTTGAACACCACGCCAATTTGCGCTCCCCTCTTACTGATCGTAAATACTTCACCCCCCTCCCCCCACCCCGATTTTAAAAAAGTTCTGCGGGGCCTGCATGTAACATGTATGAGTGGTGGTGATGCAGATTGTTTTTCTGCCCCTCTAAGTGTTTTTGCTCAGTATGCCACTGACAACACTTATAACGAGAACATCAGAAGAACTACTAGAACTCTTTAAAAAAGAGTGAAGGATGCAAGTGAATAATTTGGACCCTACCTCAATGGGAAAAAGACCTAGATCATGATTGGTGGAAATTAACTACATGCAACAGAGCATGGTGGTTGATGGAGAAGAAGTTGATCAAGTGGACAAGTTTATATAATGTTCTTGGGTCAATGATTGTCAAGGAGGGTGGAAGCTCGGCAATATCTGCCTTTGAAATGTGGTGTTGGAGGAAGCTACTTGGGATATCATGAAGAGATTACAACACCAATGGACACAATTAATGTCCATCATCGGAGATCAACTGCCACTTGCTACCAGGATTGACGGTACAAGCTACAATAGTTTGGTCACGTTAGCAGAAGATCAGGTGACAACCTTGACAAATTATCATTCAAGGTACCTTTGAAGGAACACGTAACAAAGGAAGACTCAAGCTCAGATGGACTGACGACCTTCGGGAAATCACTAGTCACCCTCTAAATACTAAAGACACTCTACCGGATTGCAGGAGACAGATGCCGATCAAAAGGTCTCATCAAACGGGTCACAATGGTGAGCCATGATCTATATGACAACGACGACGAATAGTAAGAGATAGTTTCTTGGAGGGCAGCAGTGACGCGGGACTCAGTTGGAAGACTCTCGACCCGTTATGACCTCTAGATACTCTTGGATCTGTCAAACACCAAGCAAAAATCATCAGATTTTCATCCACAGCAGAGCACAACCATCAATGACTGTACAAGGTTGTTCCAGTGTCTCATGCCTGGCTGACATCTCAACTTTTGTCAAATTCTATAAGTCCGTCTTTGACATGGGAGTGCTCGTTTCCAGAATCATCAAAAAGTGCTGTTGGGACTGGTGAAAGCTCTTATGACAAAATGTCCTTGATATTGACCTCTCTTGAACTTGTCTGCAGTCCTATTACTCTGGAGCAGATCAACTTTTCATAGATTTTTGTATCCCAACATTGACTTCTTCATGGCAGCCATGGTTTGAACTTTCTTGGAAATTGTGTCATAGAATCCACCAGGTAATATCTTTTGAAATTCATGCATCTGTCTAGTATAGATGTCAACTGCTTTATCCACATTCACTGACGTTGGAGCAATGCTGGTCTAAATAAAGCCTATCAATTGAATAATAATGTGTGCCGTAAAACCACTTCTCACCGATTTGATGAAAAATGAATTCTTTCATAGCCATTTTTTTTCTTGACATATGTAGGGTAGGTGTAGGGAATTGGAGACCACCAAGCTTGAACCCATCACTGTCTGTCCGTGTTGGCTCCAATATTGATATAGCGACAAATGTGGCCTTAAACAACACTTCTGCATATATCCAATTCATTTCGAAGACTACAATGCGTTCTCTCTCCGAGAAAATTGGCAAAATTGACCAAGATATTAGCAATTTTGATCGTAAAAATTTGCTCTGATATAAAAACACAATTTTCACTGAATGTTGTGGTGTATGCAGATATTTAGGGGTGGCTCTTAAAAATTAGTTTTAAAAGGAAGTTTATGAAATGTGCCAACCATCACAGAAAGCTTATGGCCATTGTATGTTGTGAATGGGTGTTGCAATTCACATTATGAATGGTGTCTGATCAGAAATGTGTGTAGGTAATTGGGGACACCAGGTCAAAGATGGGGGCCTACTTCTCCCCAGTTGTCCATTTCATGTTGAAAGGCACTATCATGAAACATATTTGGTCGTACGTGTCACCATTCTAATTTGAATGCATTCAATTTTAAGAAGTTGTTTCTATGCTGTGAGTTTGATCAATGTAAAATTCATATTGCCAGAACATTATTCTGAAAGTATTTTAACATAATTGAGAACACCTTTATTACTGTAAACAAAAACTACAGAAATATTTTGGGCCACATTGTTTTAAAATCGTTTCAAAATTTCAGTAAGTTCATTGGCTCCATATATCTCTTTCAAAAAATGTTTGAACTAACTATAACAATCCCATTTTCATTCAAATTGTATTTAAAATGTCTTGGTTTGTAACTGTCCCTTATTACCTACACATGTAGGTAATGAGAGACCTTTGGTGATGATGTTATTAATCATTGTTATCTTATTAATCAGTTACATCATGACCACAATTTCATTACAAAATAAAGAGAAAAAATACTAAAGGGAATACAAAAATGTCTGTATGTGTAACATTGTTCATGTTTATGTAAATTATGCAAATGTGCTTAAGGGTCTTCCATTCCCCACACCTACCCTATCTAAATTTGTACCAAACACGATGAAAGATTATGCAGCACAACTGCAATTGTTGCCCCCCAAAAGCATTTAATATGATTTCAACGTGACATAGATTTAAGAAATTGGCATTTGGCTGGCACATATATTTTATTCAAAATAATATGGTTATAGAGGGCGCTATTTCAAAATATGCAAATAAGCTGGTCATCTATGGCCATGCAACATCACAAAACATTTTGTTAGTGATGGTCCTAGAGAGATACAGACATTTGGCTGCCAAAAATTGTAGAAAAAATCCTTATTATATATTTATTATTCATTTTTAAAGGAAAATCATGTACTTTGGCGGCCATTTTGTATGACGTCATATATCTTAAATTGCTCAAGGCTGACAGAGTGTCAGCAATCGGATTCTTGAAATAGAAGGTCTAGGCAATCAAAATCCATTGAAAAAAAAACTATAGACCCTAAAACAAGGTTAGGCCAATAATCTGCATTTGGCTGCCGGACTACGAGGGGGACCTGTTTCTTTTCCCCCTGATACAAGACACTTGGAGACACCATACAAAACGATGGGTGTTAATTTCAGCAGGGCGCCGCGTCGTGCATGCTGTGCCAGAACCCTACTGTTAAACAAAAGCATAAAAAGCCGAGTAAAAAAATTGAGGTTGGTTTATACATGTAGATTCTACCTGTACACAATTTTTTTTTAAAGGTTATTGTTGTACTTTAACTGGACCTAACACTGCACGTAACACTAAACTAACCCTAACCTTTACCAAAATCTAACCTTAGACCTTACTGCAACCCTACCTCAAAACTCTAACTTTTGTATCACAAAATAAAACAAGAGCAAATGTCGCAGTGCTTAAAGTCGGCCGGAACATCAAGCAGGGAGATTATCAAAGGGAAAGTCGAACCTGATAATAAGCTGGTATTAATAAAAGCCGAAAAATATGAGAAACACAAATTTAGTGAGAGTTTGAGCGATATCCGATTAACAATAAGAAAGTTATTGAAGTAATGTCATCAGTGATATCCAATTGGCAACACTGTGACATATCTTGCGAGGTTCTCTACAATTTGCTCTGTACAGAAAACTTCATAGACTTCCATTTTCTTAGTGATTGACATAGCAGATTTGTTTCATTCACGGATTGTATAAAAACATATTTGCAATAATTGTATTTAGGTTGCACATATGATTGAAATTTTATGTAAGGAAAATAGTAGGTTCTGATTTTTCTTTAATGCAGAGCGAATGAAAAGGATTCTAGCAAGATACGTCACAAAGTTGCCAATTTGTGTACGATTGATCATAAATTCAAATATCTATAACTTTCTTGATTTGAATCAGATTTTGCTCAAGTTTTACTGACCTGTTTTTTTCATTTTTCTGCTTCTATTAAATCTAGCTTCATATCAGGGCGGACACAATTTATTTTCGTACCTTAGTTTCTGCCATCTTCCCCTCACAATCATGTGCCACTGTAACGTCACCTGAATGAGATGTGATGCTAAATGGGACCGAACGATGGGCCTTGCGGTACGACTGATGCTTCTCCTCGTGTAGAACTTCCTATTTCAAAGAAAGGAGGACCAGCAATTGAGTAATTCATGGGCCTAATGAATCGGACAGTTTCTCTGGTTCTCATGGAAATTTATCTTGACAACATTGGGGTATAAACCGGGGCTCACTATTAAAGCAAAACTATTTTCACGACCATCATCATGATTCCATTTAATTTTATTTCCATTGAATTCAAAAGCATTAATTGGTGAAAATTGGGAGTTCACCCAACTGTACACATTTCGGACAAACCCATGGGCCGCTGATGAGTGATTCTTGAGGACATTAGAATGCCATTCCGTACTTTATCATGGTACTATCCAAGAAAATTCAGCTTGTTACCAGCATTGTATAGGCTTTGGCATACAGGCCATTCTCGGAGTAATTTTTAATGAAATTATGTCTCAAGACATTTGTAATGGCGTACAGCAATTTTAATCACACTTCTAGAAAATCCCATTAATTTTGGTGTAAGCAAGCTGTAAGGCCTTGCACATAATAACCCCAAGAAGTAAGATTTTAAACAACAACCCTATAATCTTCCGGAAATTTGCAGTAGTTAACAATTTACTAATACAATATATTAACAGTACATACTGTATCCATGCCAGGAACATCGGCATGCACATGAAGATGAACTTCTATCTCTTTGCCTCTTTCTACGGTTTCCGGGATGTATGGAGTGCACATAAGTTGGTGTCGGATCACCTGCTGTTCAAGAGAAATAAGAACCCACCACTCAGCACAGTGACCGATGTACAGCTCAAGATGTCTCTTGTACACTCTGCAGTATGGTGGTTCGTCTGGTGAGCTGGATGATCTATTTCTCGATATTCTTGGTAGATCTAGTGTCAATTGTTTAAAAATAAAATGTTTTTAAGTTGAAGTAGCAATCCTAAAGAGCACGAAAAACCCCTTCACTCCTTCCCCTATTAAAAATGTCCTTAAAAAAATAGGTATTGCGGATTGTTCATCTTTACGGTATGGATGACAACGATACCTAGAGGCTAGAGGGTGAATTACCAACCAAGTGATCACTTTGAAGGAGTTCTAAAACTACAATCAGAATTCAAGATTTCTGGGTTTATTGTCTATGTAAATGCACTTGCGAAGGAAGAGGATATACAAGATGAGATATTATTTTCAATTGTTGTTTCACGGAAAGTAAACGGTAAAAGAAATATGGTATCATACCCTAAGAAATAAATTTAAAGTGTTGTGTCTGACAAAGTAGAAGTGGATTTCCGGACATCACTTTCCATATATCCCAGTATTAAAGATAAAGACCAGCTATGGTCATGCGATTGCATTGTGAAAGAAACGTTGTAGAATCGATCAGAAAAGGTTGATCATCTAACATATAAGTATTGATGTGTACTGCAAGGTTCTGGAATCATCAAAATGATAAGAAATTTGGCCCAGTCTTCGTAAAGTTACAAGCACTGTACACAAAAAGATGTATATGGGACTACGCACACGTGCACGACACGTGTGTTTATCTCTCACACACCAATAGATAAACTAATTTACCAATTGTATCAATTAGTAGGCGGTTTCCCAGCAAATTTTTTATCATCATGTATTAGTCAAAACATACTCTTTCACATGATTGGTAATAAGAGCTTCCATTTCATTTTTTGAAATTGGGGCGTTTCCAATACTGGTCTTTACCTTTAAGAATGGGTCATTTTCTCAATCTGATCCAATTGACTTACCCTTCACTGAATCCCATGAACGGCAAACGATATCAGGCTTCACTCGATCTGGGTTGACGATGAAGGCTGAGTGAGGTATCTTGATCTTAACAGGCTGGTGAAAGATCATGTTTGGAGGCTCACATCTGATCCCAAGACAGGCCAATGATTCATCTCCCTGACTGTCTATACTTGGAGGATCTTGTATACTGGTTAATGTTATCTCGCAGGAGCCACTCTCTTGTACAGCCCCTGGTGGGATAGACATGGATATACCAAGGTCCGCCAGTTCTATCTGCTTTCCTCCATTACCGACATGAGCAAACACCGTAACCAAGGGTATGGCTTCTTCAGCTGTACACAAGATGAAATCAAGAGATAACCAACTACTGGTGGAAATGAAGGGTTTCTAATATTCAGAGACTACCGGTAGTGAATGACTGAATCTCGGGAACATCAGATATAAAGCTGGTAATTACAAAAAAAGGAATAAAATCTATAATTGTTTATTAAAAAGGCGGAGTACTACACAGTAGTGCAATAATGTGTATCACCTCGTACTTAAATGTAAACGTATGTTTCATAAATGTATGAGTTCTCTTTAGCAGCGAAATGAAGACTGGATGAGTAATATATATAGTTGGAACAATGCACGATAAAGTAAATTTTGTTATCTCGCTGTATCCTACATTACCTCGATATCTTGTGATCATCTCTATTGACGGTAACCTATAATTTTGAGGGAACAAGGGAGACCAAAGAGTCATTACAAGTATTGATGATTTGATTTATAATCATATCATGGACAACACGTAAGAGCTTTTGATAATCATCTTCAGCCATGGTATGAATATAGAGAGAATATAGAGAGAATGAAAGAAGGAAAAAAAAAAATCGACATTTCAATAGGCCAATTAAGAATCCAGGGTTTAAAGGGGCCATCACACTACAGTGTGAGTCCAAAAAAAAGTTTACACCTAGAAAATTGCTAATTATTTTTAAAATCTTTTATGAACAGTAAATCATTATAATATGAAAGAGTGTTTTATCCCAAATCATTTGGTATCATTTTTGTGTGGTATGTGTTCACGCTTGGATGAACAGGAGGCATTGTTTGCGAGAGTGCAAAAATCAACTTGCGCCAAAGTTGCTTATCTGATGTTTAAATAAAACAATTGGGATTTGGGTATTAAATCGGCTTTTGTAGATCCAAATAACATCCCTAACAAAATCAATCATGTCACACATATCAAATATCGAATATCAAATATCAACGATCATTTGTGCGCGTGTGTGTGTGCGTGGGTGACTTTGCTTCTGCAAAAAGCATATGCTATGCATTTCATTTGATACATTCAATTCATTCTCTCACTCCGCTAATCTCAACATAATACATGCTGTAGGCATCACTTTGGCGCAAGTCGATTTTTGCACGCTCGCAAACAATGCCTCCTGTTCATCCAAGCGTGAACACATACCACACAAAAATGATACCAAATGATTTGGGATAAAACGCTCTTTAATAAGATGTATAATAATTTACTGTTCATATATGATTTTCAAAATAATTAGCCATTTTCTAGGTGTAAACTTTTTTTTGACTCACACTGTATAATACATTCAGGAAATAAACATGAACGAATTTCAAAAGTCTGAATAGGTGCACAGACCTCAACACGAATACATTCCAGATGCTGGACGAAAATTTCTAAAGAACGAACCAGAGCGGATTGTGAAAGAAACAAACGAACAACTAACTCTGCATACGCCTCCACCCCCCCCCCCCCTCCCTGTATGTTCTGCGACTTTAATTAAATTGAGTCAGTCCAAATTCCTTACGTGATATCTCCATATGTTTATCCGGGTATTTAATGAATTAAATAACGAATTCAAAATAAAATGTTTACCGGTACGCGAACTTCGGCGTCTGCCAGCTAATAATCATTTTGTTTCGTTTAAGCCAAAGCTGGAATAGACTATTTTGAAGACAGCCTATGTTCAAACGACCCCCAAATATCCACAGATCTTTAAAATATGGATAAGTATCACTCTTTGCACTTTACAATTTACAGCCAAAGGGATAGAAGTGCTTCCTGATTAAGTTTTGTTTCTCCTCTTTAAAAGACTTTCATTCGTGGGAGCCTATCACAGAATGTACCATCAGTGTATAAATGAATATTGACTTCTGGAACATGTATCCAGCATTTGTGTCGATGAGTTTTACAGTTTGGTACAATACCGTAATTAACGTTGTATAACCACCCTCTGAGATTTTTTTTTGTGTGTGTAAGATCATTAATGTAAATTAAAAAACAGTAGGGGACCTAGGATAGAACCTTGTGGTACACCATGTAATAGAAGAAAAATTGGAGGAATTATCTCTGAAATGGTCCATTAATCATCAAAAGACGTAGCCTGTGAACAAAGATTTCCCTACCTTGAAAATATCTCCTGTCGGATAACTTCATCGGTAGCATAGTGAACTGGTAGTTTGCCTTCACCATCCCTTACGTCCAGTTTCGCGTCATGCTCCAGAAGGTATAAGACTAGTTCTAAAGCCTTCTCTGGGGAAAGCTCGTGATGATAGGAGTCTTCTGAGATCTGAGTAAACAAATGTGATGATTACCTTATCAATTAATATAATCATTTTTTTTAATTATGAAACAATATGTATCTTATGTATATTTTGTTATCTGTATTATTTATGCATGTTAAATGTGAAATCAACTCAAACTCAAACTCAAACTCAAACATACCAGTAGGTTATTTAAAAAATTCAAAAAATGTGCAGCGATAGTTTTTATGTCTATATATATGTTTATAAACAGGTCATTTCAAAGTTTGATGGTAAAGACATCATTATTTTTCATCAATGTTTTGGTTAAACAACCAAGTACGGGAACCACCCCAGCTGATCTATTAAATTACACGTTTATTTCCCATCAAAACACTTCTAAAAATACCATCAATCTAACAATCTGCCTAATAACTTTAATAGCACTTCCGTTCATCTTGATTGATAGATTCTCGTGCTCTTGTTCATTACCCGATTCTGAAATCCCAAAACTCTGAAATCAACACCTTTCTCAAGGATTAATGGTGTTATCCAGTTACACCAAGAACTTAATCCCATATATGCATGATAACGGTGAATCAAACGTAGGCCTAGTAATAATCAAATCTTTTGATTTGAGCATAGTCTTGACTGGCACTTGTGCTATACAACTGGTACGATGTGGCCTAAAAAAGTCATCTCTAAGTATTAAGTTCTGACTATTCTGACATGACTGTTCGGTTACTATGCGGGAACAAGCTCTAAATCACAAGTGAACAATATTAAACATCCCGCTTAAGAAAAGTGCATGGCAACATAATTACGATTTTCTACTTGCAGACCAGCTTAACGGTTGTTAGTGCTATGTGAATTTTCAATCATCTTTACCTGTTTGGATCTCCCTTTTAATTGCTCTTTTCTGCCCTTGTGATCTGAAAGTATGATGGCTTCATGAAGACAGGTCTTTCCATTGTGCGACTGGATGTTTAAGGAAGCTCCATGGGAAACCAGCGACTCGACAACCGGTGTGTGGCCATTTTGAGTGGCGAGGTGAATGGCAGTCAATCCTTCATCATCACGTTGATCGAGAATCCCAGAGATCTATATAACAAAAAATAATAATTAAAAAATAATATATAAACAAGTCAACGCAAGCGTAGCATCCCCTCGCAGGGTACAAATGGGCTATAGCTTAGAACAAGTTACCTCACTAGGCAAGGCATTTTTGCATGTATAATTAGGTATTTTAGCATATTTAATGAGCTATGACATTTCATCTTTGACCTACATACTCCGAAATTGAACTTAGGCTGTGTTTTAATATCATGTACCTTCATTAAAATCCGTCAAACTATTACTAAAGTTATTTACACCTATTTGTTTGTGGCTTACACCCAGTAAATAAGATCAATTGATTGATCTGTAATTGAAAAACAAGTCAGAATTTTGTTTTGGAACCAGCAGGACTTGAACCTGCATCTACTGCTTGCCGGGCAGCGACTCTACCACCAGGCCATCACTGGTCCATGGCGCCGCCACGATGAACTAGAAACAAATACCCAAGCTCTTCTGAAGCTCTCCTGATGCAGGTTCAAGTCCTGCTGGTTCCAAGATTTTTTCTGACTTGTTTTCAATACTGATTGATCAATCGATTTTATTTACTGGGTGTAAGCATTTCTCCCAAGAATTATTACATTTATAAAAGTTCTTATAATGAATATTAATAAGTCAGAATAAATCAAGAGAGCTTGGGTATTTGTTTCTAGTTCATCGTAACTGTGCCATGGACCAGTGATGGCCTAGTGGTAGAGTAACTATACCCACCAAGCAGTAGATGCAGGTTCAAGTCCTGCTGGTTGCAAGATGTTTTCTAACTTGTTTTTCAATTACCGGTACAGATCGATCAATCTTATTTACTGGGTGTAAGCCACAAATATATTTCAATAATTGAAATTTCTCCAAGGAAGCAGACAGTACTTTGTTGGCGAGGGGATAATTATAGGTGTATTCCTTATGATAGAGCACTGGTAGCATTCCATAATTACGTGAACTTTCAACTAGCTTTGAAATGCAACAAAATTATCAGGATTTAAAAAAATCTTATTAGCCTACACCTTGAGGAATCTGAATGTGATTATATCTAAGCAAAGAAACATATGAATCTTCGAAATAACCTCCACTTAGCTATGTTAGCCTTTATTATTACCTATTTTTTTAACTGTAATTTGGAGCTTGAATTATCATTATTTATATTGGCTCCTCACTATGTAGAGGAATGATTTATTACACACCTTTGCATGCATTGCTAAGATGGCTGAACAGTTGGTACTTCCTTTCTTTGAAGATAGATGCAGTGGGGTCTGTCCATTGGCATCCTTTACATCAACTAGGGCTCCTTCCTCAAGCAGGACCTTAACAATATCAAAGTCACCTTTCATAACAGCAACGTGCAAGGGGGTGTAGCCATTTCTGTTGCCCATGTTCACACTTATTCCTTGAGCTAGCAAATACTTTGTGACACCAAGATAACCCTCCTGGACAGCACTGTGTAGTGCAGTAACGTCATTATCTCCCTTATTCACCTCAGCACCTTGACTGATGAGATATTCGGCGACATCAAGATGACCCTCTTGAGCAGCACTGTGTAATACAGTCCAACACTTATTATTTCCTCTATTCACCTCAGCTCCTTGACTGATAAGATATTTGGTGACATCAAGCTGACCCTCCTGAGCAGCAAGGTATAATGCAGTGACACCCTCATTAGTTCCCTTATTAACCTCAGCTCCTTGACTGATCAGACATTTGGTGACATCAAGGTGACCTTCGAAAGCAGCATTGTGTAATGCAGTCCTACCCTTATTACTTTCCTTATTTACCTCGGCTCCTTGACTGATCAGATATTTAGTGACATCAAGGTGACCATTTATAGCAGCGAATTGTAATGCAGTCCTACCCTTATTATCTCCCTTATTCACCTCGGCTCCTTGACTGACAAGATATTTGGTGACTTCCAGGTGACCTTCGGAAGCAGCACTGAGTAAGGCAGCCAAACCATCATTATCTACCCCATTCACATCAGCTCCTTGACTGATGAGATATTTTGTAACTTCAAGGCGACCCTCCTGAGCGGCCCTGCGTAAGGCAGCGAGACCTTCATTATCTCTCTCATTCACATCAGCTCCTTGACTGATCAGATATTTGGTGACTTCAAGGTGACCCTCCTGAGCGGCCTTGTGTAAGGCAGCCACACCGTCATTATCTCTCTCATTCACATCAGCTCCTTGAATGATGAGACATTTGGTGACATCAAGGTGACCTTCGAAAGCAGCATTGTGTAATGCAGTCCTACCCTCAGTATCTCCCTCATTCACCTCAGCTCCTTGACTGATCAGATATTTGGTGACATCAAGGTGACCTTCCAAAGCAGCATTGTGTAATGCAGTCCTACCCTCAGTATCTCCCTTATTCACCTCAGCTCCTTGACCGATGAGATATTTGGTGACATCAAGGTGACCATCGAAAGCAACAGATTGTAACGGAGTCCTACCCTTATTATCTCCCCCATTCACCTCAGCTCCTTGACTGATCAGATATTTGGTGACATCAAGGTGACCCTCGTGAACAGCTAAATGCAATGCAGTCATACCGTCATTATCTCCCTTATTCACCTGGGCTCCTTGACTGACGAGATATTTGGCGACTTCCAGGTGACCGTTGAAAGCAGCACTGCGTAATGCAGTCCTGCCCTTATTATCTCCCCCATTCACCTCAGCTCCTTGACTGATCAGATGTTTGGTGACATCAATATGACCATTCTTAGCAGCACTGAATAAGGCAGGCAAACCTTCATTATCTACCCTATTCACCTCAGCTCCTTGACTGATCAGATATTTAGTGACATCAAGGTAACCCTCCTGAGCAGCAAGGTGTAATGCAGTGCCACCATCATAAGTTCCCTTATTCACCTCAGCTCCTTGACTGATCAGATATTTAGTGACATCAAGGTGACCCTCCTGAGCAGCAAGGTGTAATGCAGTGACACCATCATTAGTTCCCTTATTCACCTCAGCTCCTTGACTGATAAGATATTTGATGCAATCAAGGTGACCCTCCTGAGCAGCAAGGTATAATGCAGAGCCACCATCATTAGTTCCCTTATTCACCTCAGCTCCTTGACTGATAAGATATTTGATGACATCAAGGTGACCCTCCTGAGTAGCAAGGTATAATGCAGTGCCACCAACATTATCTGCCTTATTCACCTCAGCTCCTTGACTGATAAGATATTTGATGACATCAAGGTGACCCTCCTGAACAGCAGGGTATAATGCAGTGCCACCATCATTAGTTCCCTTATTCACCTCAGCTCCTTGACTGATAAGATATTTGGTGACATCAAGGTGACCCCCATCAGCAGCAAGGTGTAATGCAGTGCCACCCTTATTATCTCCCTTATTCACCTCAGCTCCTTGACTAATGAGATATTTGGTGACTATAAGGTGACCATTGGCAGCAGTATCATGTAGTACAATCCTACCCTCATTATTTGCCTTATTCACTCCGGCTCCTTGTCTGATCAGATATTTGGTGACATCATGGTGACCATTGGCAGCAGCACCGTGTAATGCAGTACAACCCTCATTATCTCCCTTATTCACCTCAGCTCCTTGAATGATTAGATATACGGTGACATCAAGACGACCCATCTGAGCAGCAATTTGTAATGCAGTCATACCATAATTATTTCCCCAATTTACACTAGCTCCTTCACTGATGAGATATTTCACCACTTCAAGTTTACCACACCCTGCTGCCATGAGTAAAGGATTCCAGCCTTTAGTATTGCACTGATACACTTTTGCCCCCTGACTGATAAAGTATCGTACCACATCAAGATGACCATTCCTTATAGCACTATATAATGCAGACCAGCCGTCCTCGTCTTCTTTGTCCATATTAGCTCCATGACTAAGTATAATTGTTATTGGTTGAACATGTCCGAGTGATGCAGCAAGATGTAAGGGTGTTCGTCCATCTGAAGTCGCCTTCTCCACATCAGCTCCATGATTTAAGAGATACTCGATAACAGTCTCCTGGCCATACAGGACAGCCGTGTGTAAGGGTGTGTTTCCATCTTGGTTTGTCTGGTTTATGTTACAACCCTGTTTTAGCAGTCTTTTTACACTGTTGGTTTTACCCCGAGATACTGCCTCATGAAGCTTTTGATTTATGTCCTCCATACTTGAAGTAGCACCATTTTATCAGACTAGCACAGTCTCTTGTAATGGACTACTTTTCTCATTACGCTTGATTAAGAATCTATACCTTTCGTAGCTGACAGTCCGGTTGCATGTTACATGTTACAAGCATAAGCATGCACTACACTGATACAAATTCATAATTGCAATGGGCAATTGTCATTTTTGTTGTTTTCAATCAGTTCCAAAGTCCTGTGCGGTGAATTAAATCATAACACGAATATATTCAAAATATCAATCATTCCTATTCCATTGTTAGGCTTCTCTCATTTTCTCCTTCTCTTTTTCTTCTTTTTCAGCAACAATCAGGAATCATCAATATTTCATTCAATATAAAATGGTTGTGGATAGAACAGAGTACAAGCTGATCGAGATGAGCCCTGTTAGAATGAGATAGTCCTACAAATGGGATAAATGGTGAACTTCCCCAAAAGTGTAGATTTTATTCGATCTGTAAAGATAATGCACAGAAAATAACATATTTTGAGTTATCTTGTTCATTGCATATAAATCTTAATAAATGGTTTGGAAATGTACACTTCTTTGTCTGACCTGGTTCTTATTTCTAAGTGTAGCAGACAAGATTGCTTGTTATCAAAGTCATTTTGATTTGATTTGATTTGATTTGATTTGATTTATTTATTTCTGTTTGATTTTCTTTTTCTTTTGCATTTTTACAAATATATAACAAACAAACCATTGCAAATTTTACACATTTCAAAAGAATATATTATGTCAAATAAAGTTAAGCTGGCTGTGACTATATAATCAACAACAAAAATCAAACAGGAGGGTTGACAAAATAAGCCAAGCTTGATAGCACGACTACCCTCAATGGATACATAATTATACAATCGAGGAACAAATATTGGTAAAAGGGGAAAGAGAGAGAGAGAGAAAGAGAAAAGAAAGAGGGGGTGTGCATCACGATTCACAGATACTTTGTACATGTATGTGGTACAATATAGTTGGATTTCAATTTGATATATGAAGATAAAAAAGAAGATGCACATTTGAATATTGGGTGGCCAACTTGGGATATAGTATAGAACGAGAAGACTCACAAGGTTTCTGGACAATATGAATAGAAATGTGAGATCAGCGAGCTGGTTTATATAGACTGTAAACCTTTGTTTGTATACAAAACAGTGTTTAAGCAGTATCCCAAGTAGGCCACTCTTTATTCATACGTTTATTCATACCAGGTCATGGAAGATAAAAAGTAAGAGTACTGAAAATTATCGAGTTTCGAAACGACAGGTATACGAGGGGAACTTATGAAGATTGAAGATAAGCAAATTTTGATGGCGGATTTAAAGATAATGCGCAATAAGAAACTTAACCTTCAAGCGCAAATTGGCAACAATATACATGAGTTGGCAACATAAGTCTATAGGGTTTATCGCCTCACGCAGGGGAGCGCATATTTTTTTTACACAACTGTTTAGCCATTTTCGCGAAAAAATTCATAGAAGTGCTCTGGTGAAAGAGTCTACTCGTCAGCGCACACTTTGTGCATGCATGCACACCCAGGGAATTCAGGGAAGATGATAGAAAAGGGAAAACAATGAAATACATAAGGAGAGTATATATGGAAAAAGAAAACAAGAAAATACATAAGGAAATAGAAGAGGATAGATTGAATGAAAAACAAAGAAATACATAACCAAGGAGAAAAGGATAGATTTAAGGAAATATAGAAATACAGAAATAGAAGAGGATAGATTGAAGGAGAAACAAAGACATAAGAAAAGAGAGGAGCTAGATATATCAAAGGAATTAGACAAATCATAATGAATGAGAAAAGAATAGATTCAAGGAAAAGAAACAAATACATATGGAAAGAGAAGAGGATAGATCAAAGGAAAGACAAAGAAATACATAACGAAGGAGAAAAGGATAGATTGAAGGAGAAACATCGAAGGGGGAAAACGCTCTAGTATGTATGTTAAAAACTCCAATGTTAGACTCTGTCTCTTGACGTTCGCACGGTATATTTGACTGAACTGGCTAAACACTTGTGTAAAAAAAATATGCGCAGGCCGCCATAGGGACGATTGGATCGAAAAGGGAGCAAGTGCGCCGCCATTGTCTGGACGTATTAATGCGAACGCGAGCAGCCGATGTACAATAAAGGGACTTGGTAACATTGTTCAGATGAGAGAAACTGGTGCCAAGGTAGTGACTACAATGCTAGATGCACAATTAAAGATAATCCAAAAGTTTGAGTGAAAACAGACCATTATTAATGATAAAATTGGGGGAAAACTGATCCGATTGATTCCTTAATTCTCCCAACTACATTATTACAATTACATTTTAGGTAAATGTAAATCGTCACAAAGCAATGAATCGTCTCTATACCATTCAAAACATTTAAGAGTTAAAAGATTTTTTAAAGCCTGTCTTACCGGTATGTCTTATTTTCGTGGAACAAATGTTTGGGAAAGTTTAAACATTGTTGGGAGAATTTACTGTTAGAGGGTGTCGCACAGTGACGCCTTCAAAGAAAACCATTAATATCTTTGTGGCTTGAGAATTTTTCAGGATATTTTGCATGTTAGAGGGTTAGTACAGTAGAAGGAATATAATGAGTAAACATTTCATACAAAAATTACGCAGTTTTTTCATTAACCTTCAACAATGTTACAGAGTCACTTTAAGAGCCATTATATCCTTATTACACCGTGTGAGATATGTCCCCGTCGGGTAACCCGACACATGCTCCGCCGACGATTGCTCCGCCGACATTTACTCCGCAAAACGCGACAATTGCTCTGCGACATTTGCTTTGCGACATTTGCTCCGCTGACAATTGCTCCGGCATTTGCTCCGCCGACATTGGCTCCGCCGACATTGGCTCCGCCGACATTGGCTCCGCCGACAATTGCTCCGCCGACAATTGCTCCGCCGACAATTGCTCCGCCTGAAGCGACACTTGCTCTGGTGACATTTGCTCCGCCGACAATTGCTCCACCAACAATACCTCCACCAACATGTGCTCCGCTCAAAAAGTGCCCCGTAAAATACAATGCTCTGCTGACAATCAAATTGCTCTCTGATCCAAAAGTGTGGCTTCGTGGAAGACGTGAATGCTCATCTGGCAATTAGTGCAATAAATGCTCAGCTTTTTTTTTGCTATTCCCCATAATGTTTGATTTTATAAAAAAAATCAAGTTATAGCACATGATTCAAGTTCTCCGGCGAAAGATAATTACTCCGCTCAAAATCTGTTTTCATGTATTACTCATTAGCTGATCCAAAGTTAAAGGCTATCTCTCTCCGATCTCTCTTGCTCCTCCTATTCTTTGTTACACCCTTTTCTTGTCTTCTTAGCTCTTTTCTTTCCTCTCATGCTTTTAGTCTTCTTTCATTTTCATCACTTCTTCTCTTCTCCCCCTCTCGAGTTCTATTTCTCTTGTGAAATTGTAATGTAATGTATACATTCTTGTTTAGAATAGTATTTTCAATAAGTGTATGTAGCTTTACTATATATATATATATATATATATATATATATATTAGTGTGTAAAACACCCCGTCTCATACAAGTACTTTGTTTTCCCTGACTTTAAGGGACTCACGGAACCACCGGAAGAAGAGCAATTGGCTTATCATGAAGAACTAACATCAAACTGCAACAAAATGATTTGTATAAATGGGAATGAGCAGAAAGGCTGCCATCTAATTTTTCTGTCTGCATGGGTTCTCTTCTTTACGTATAAGTGCCCTTGAAAGCTTATTTTGATCCCACCCCTGTTGTTTTCAAGTTCTAGAACTTCCATGATGACCTATAGTCTATATAAGTAATACGCTAAGGCTCCGCGGGGGGCGCGACGTCTCCGCGAGCCTTTGTATTATATTGTTTTTTAATGAGATCGCCGACCCAAGTTAGTGCGGCTATCTCCTCCTGAACCCTCCCCTCGGGGCACCCGTGCCTGGTGCCATCGTCCGCGGGAGAGTCTACTCTGTGGAATTGGCTATACTCCGCCCGAGGTCCTCCTCCGTGTCGACGTCCAGGGCGAAAACAGACGCGATATGCATAATGCAGGATATGCGTGACGACAGAGATACCTCATGGATATTCAACATTACATCCGTAGACACACGACCGATGACTATCCACTCACATTAAGTTGCGTATTAAATGCACGATGCACAGGGTCGGGATTACCCGAGCAAAGCATCTTTCTATAGGATATCCTTTGTAGTAGCGCTGCACAAGCCAGAGAGATACCCTGATACACGGGGCTTCCCGTCGACGTCCAAACTTAGAGACCTATTTCCATCATGATTGCCGCGATTTGTATATAGTTTTCGTGAATGAAGGTATGAAATCAAAGCTTATTTTGTGATTATTACCGCCATGCTTACTGAATTTTGATCATCATTTTCTAAAGGAAAGTTTTCACAAGAAAACCATTGGACTGACAGTTCAGTCGCAAGTTGCCTTCAGTCTACACACACATACATAC